CTGCTCCCCTCAGCAGTGGACTCTGTCAGTCCGCCTGTTCTGCTTCCCACGCGGCATCTGGGGAATCTTCTCAGCCCCTGTGCATCTGACCTGTGCCCCAGTTCCCATATGCATAAGTAAATCTCAGAAAATAATGACTAATAAAACCATGCCTTGTGTTGAGCTAGAGTTTTTACTAACTAAAGGACAGGCCCTACAGTTTGGGGACAGGGTCAGACAAACTTTACATTTGGGCCAGACAGTGTCTGTCCTAGTCTCTTCAGGCCACATTCTCTGTGCCATTGCAGCCCCAGGGTCACACCCAGGATGGAAGGGGGTGGTGAGCACTGGATTCTGTAAGCATCCATCACACAGATAGTGGTTTGCCTGTCACAGAACAGTTGTGGTTTACCCCCAAATCTTGGCCCTTGTTCTATTAACAATCTTCAGGTTAGCTGCCCAAACCCTGCTCTAGTTTCCATTTATGTTCGTGGTGTTTGGTAAGGAGGTTGGGGGGGGGTAGGCATGAGGTGTTGGTATAGGCTGGAACTCTTCTTTCATGTTTTTCTCATTGTAAGAACTAAAATATGTTCAATTTTTGAAGAACTCATTTGATGTGTACCAGGTGAACTGTGATGCATGTGTGGTTTAAGTGATAGGCAGGTAGGTAGACACATGCACATTCATTTTCTTTAGATATCTGTCTAGTTTTGAGCCTCTATACTAGATGCTTTCTGCCTTGAAACAATTGTATAGTAGGGTTTGTCTTCCTCATTTTAGAGATTAGAAACCCCCCCTTTGGAGATTAAGCAGCAGGTACAGCACAAGCAGTTGAAACATCTGTGCATTATATGTGTAAACATTTTAACACACTGTACATAGGAAATTTACCCAGATACCCAATAAATCCTTGGTTAAAATTGGAGCATTCATGAAATTTTGACATTCTCTAGGATAAAAAGAATTGTCACCCTTACGCTCTAGAAGTTTATTTCCTATTTCTCAGCTTGTCAAGGGCTGTAATTGTTGGACATGAAGGGAATTTGTGTCCTTTCGACTTCCTGCCAGTCGGTATCGCATTGCACTGCCTCCTGTTGAATCTACCTCCGTCCTGTTGCGGGATAGAGCACCATTTCCTGCCTCTGTGACTCAGCTGCAATGGTTGGGGCAAAAGATCCATACAAATCTGTTTTTAATGTTGTTACTTGAAACACATTTCTCTTCATGGAAATGATGCTTTTAGTGTACCTGGTTTTGGTTTGTTGCAGGCAACAGAACATTGAGGAAAACATGACAATAGCTATGGAAGAGGCGCCGGAAAGTTTTGGCCAAGTAGTGATGCTTTATATTAACTGCAAAGTGAATGGACATCCTGTGAAAGCCTTTGTTGATTCAGGTGACGTCTCCATCTTTTGTGTCTGTCTCTCCACCCAGTATTCTGACCTGACTGAGGAAGCGGGGGAGACACTGGTGTCCATTAGAGACCGCTCGTCCTCCAGACTGTTCACCAGCAGGCGACTGCAGCTTTCGCTTGCCAGTCTTTTATTATTTATTTAATTTTTCTTTCTCTAATCATTTCTTAACTAGTTTTGTATTTTTCATTGTCTGTTTTATCTTCCTACCTCCCCTTACTTGGCATCCTGAATTTCTAGGATACCACTTAGAAATTGGGGAATAAAAATATTCCCACATTGGGAAAAATTATTTAGAAAATGGAGAAACTCTAGAGCGGGTTTCGAATCTATGGTATCTGACAGACACACAGTAAGTGCCCCTTCAGCCCGCCGGTGCCAGCACGTTGCAGGAGCTTTGAGGGGTAGAAGATGCACAGGGCACGGTTGCTGCCTTAGAGAACTGGTGGGAGGTCGACGGGCAGGGATTCCCTGTGCTAACTGGCACCTTTTCTCTTAATAACTCACTGCTTTTTAAAGAGACCAGACCGAGCAGCACCATGTGGGTGTGCAAGTGGTCTGGTGTCTTGATCTGGGCATCTCCATCAAGACTGTGAGGTAGTATGAGTGCCCAAAACAGTAAAAGCCCCTGCTCCAGTAACGTCATCCATTTGCTCATCTACCAACTTGAACCACATACTTGGTCTCATCCACCACTGTGTTTTTATGGAGAGATGCGTGTCCTCTGGGAAGGAGCCGGTCAGCTGAGCACTCAGTTTAACTGCCTACTGAATGCCGCATGTGGGGCCTTGTGCTGAGTGCTGCTCTGGGCCACGTGCGTGAGAGACAAACACGGAGGAGAGCCTAGCACAGCACCCTGCTCATTGAGCCCTTGCTGGGAGTGCCACGCACCATGTTGGGTCCTTAGGTATATTCTCTTGCTCAGCTCCAGGTACTTCAGAGAAGCCGTGTTCTACACTGCCCCTGTTTTACAAATGAGGTAATTTAGACGTGGAGAAGTAGAGTCACATCTGTGGCATACACAGTTTCTGGTGGTGGATTGGATTCAGCCCTAGATCTGCTTATTCTTAACCACTGCAAAACTCGGCTGTGTGTTGGAGGAACTTAGAGACCATCTTCTCACTTTGACTGAAGTGCATTGGCATGGCTTCCCTAAGGGGGAAGATACTTGACTAGGCTTTCTTCCTAGGCAGAGGACTGGGATTTGGAGCTGAGGAAAGATGGAGAGCAGAGAAAGGGGTCCTCTCAACCTGGGGTCAGTTACTTTTTACATTAGTAAATAGCTTTGCGGAACTATGCGGGGGTAGGGAATAAGTGAGGACTGCCTTCCCAAATTCCCTTTTCCCTCATTATTTCTGGGCCTTCTTGATTCTGACCTTCCTCAAATGTCAAGAGCTTTCAGTGCGTCTGTCAGGCACCTGCAGTGAAGAACAGGAAGTGCCTGGCGTGAAAGCCAAATGTGCCTCCAGATGCTGCTGGAGGGCCCGTCCACAGGGGAGCTCTTGGGCTTTGGAACGTGAGCCGGAGTGGGGAAGACCAGAGAAGAGGAAGAGGAGAGGGGCTGGGAATCAGAGAGGGGTGGACTGACCCCCAACCTGCTAATAGCAGTACCCTCATCTTGACTTACAGCTTCCAGAACCATGAGGAAAGAACTCCTGTTGCTTAAAAACAAAGCCAAACCCAGGATATAGTGGAGTTGAAAAGGAAGAGAGAGAGATCCACAGAAAGCACTGGCAGTTGAGGAGGAGAGAAGCAGGGCTTGAGCTGGGCCTTAAAGCCCAGATGGAAGTCAGAGAAAGGGACAGGGAAGGGCCCTCTATGGAGCCTCAAAGTGACTAAGCGGCAGAGGCTAAAGTGGAGGGCTCAAGAAGAGGCTGATGTCTGAGTCGGCTCAGCAGCTGTGACCAGCTCCAGCATGGATCTCTCGTACTTCTGGAGTCTGGTGTGAACAGGATCAGGGCACAAGCATACTCTGTGTTGGCGGACTTTCCTGATCCTCAGGTGATTGTGTTTTCTCTGTCCTCACATGGGAAGGACAGGGGTGCACATTGGGCTCGCTCACTCTTGAGGCTCTACTTCCTAATCCCTGCCACATTGGGGTTAGGCTTTGACATAGAGGGAGCATACTCAGACTGGGACAGCTGGAAGCAGTAGGCCAGGATAAGGCGGACTCTGCAGCTGTGGCGATGTGTTTGGAAACTGGTCTTAAGAATAGGATCCATTGAGGGTTTTTGAGCACATGACTAAGGGATCTGAAGGGGACAGTCACAGATCTGGCAGATTCTGACCTAGGGGTCAGAACTGTTTCCCTGCTTTAAATAAGAACTTGAGGAGTGGGGCCTCCCTGGTAGAGACAGAACTTTCACACTGTCAGCCACTGCAACACGAGTTAGGTCCCCGGCCACGGAGTGACCCATATGGTGCAGCAGACCTCTCCTACCCTGCCCACTGCTCTCCTCAGCAGTGTGTTTCAGTCACTGCTTGATCCGCTCCCCACTGTTTGTGGTGAATCTTTTCACCTCACCCACATCTCTGGCCTGCCACCCAGCTCTTGTAAACATAAAGTTTTTAAAAAATGGTGGAGTGGTGTGAGAAGCAGAGAAATTAGTTGCCCACTAGTAAGGGTTAGAGTATAAGCGAGGCTGACCACTGTGCTTAGAAGGAGGAAGGTAAGAAAGCAGCTCCTGCATCAAACATATTAATGGGATTGGGGCAGATTTGAGAGAGGGGATACAACTAAAGGAAGGAAGGAGGGCCCCTGGCAGCGCAAGGGGTTAGGGCTCAGCACTGAGGAGCTGTCGCCACCCCTGCGGCACGAGCGCCATCCCCAGCCAGGGAGGGACCCCCAAGCGCAGCAGGCTCCTCCTTTCTCCCCACTGCTCCCCTCAGCACTGTATTTCACTTAGTCTGCCAGTTCTGCTCCCCACTCTCTCTCTGGTGAGTCCTCTCACCCCCTGCACCTCTAGCCTACACCCCAGTTCTTGTGTGCATAAATAAATCTTAAACAAAGAAGAAATAAAAAGTGAACAGTGCCGGAGGTTTATGATTGCAAGAAAATAATTCCATTGGCAAAGAGAGCCAAAGTGAAGTTGCTTGGGGAGAAAGAATTTGATACTTGTTGATGTTGAGAATGGACACATGCAGCACACAGGAATTTGGAGCTAGAGTCCAAGGGAGAGACCAGGGCTGTGGGTTAAGGTTAGTGTGTCTTCTGCTCAGGCCCAGCCTGATTCCTGTGTGGGTGAGTACAGGTAACTGAGGGGAAAAAAGCCTAAATGTCCTCTTCCTTAAGGGGGAGGGGGACACTAATGGTTGGGGTATGAGAGACCACAGGATGTATTTTCAACTGATACATTTTAGTGCCCCAGAGTTTCAAATTAAAAATAACTTGATCAAGGGTCAAAAGATGAAAAGTAATGTAAAGTGGTATTTAGTGTTTCCATCTGTGGTCATTGTTAGACATTTTGGAAATCCTTTCCAAGTAGTTTTGCTTTCTATTGATACAGTTTAATTATTTTAAAATATTATTCTTTCAGTGTCAAGGTTTAACATTGTTTCATATGCCAGTGTGGAACTGACAGTTGAATTAAGGTGGCAGGAAACCTGCTAGGCAAGTAAGGATTTTACACAGACAGAAGACTTGGGGGTATATTTGCTTTCTACCCTGTACTTAGTGCTGCATTTTTAGTCTTGTCACTGATGTGGATTTTGTTGTTATTGTCTGATGTTTCCCTCTGCCTCCAGGTGCCCAGATGACTATTATGAGCCAGGCTTGTGCAGAAAGGTGTAATATAATGAGACTGGTGGACCGTCGGTGGGCAGGGATCGCCAAAGGAGTAGGCACCCAGAAGATTATTGGAAGGGTACATCTAGGTGAGTGAAAGCCCCTGGGAATCTTCCTAGGGTAGTGTTGTTTTTTGTTTTTGTTTTTTAAGTTTCTTTAGGATGGGTACGTCTGATCAGCAAGCCTAACACCCCCCTAGAGTTTTGTTTTGCTTTTTGGGGGGTAAGATTTATTTATTTATGCATATAGAACCAGAGGTGCAGGGGTGGTGAGAGGATTCACCAGAAAGAGAGTGGGGAGCAGAACAGGCCAATCGATGAGGTACACTGCTGAGGGGAACAGCAGCTGGGTCAGGAGAGGTCTGCTGTGCCCTGTGGTCACCTCCGGGGCGGGGATCGAGCTCGTGCTGAAGAGGCTTCAGCTTTGTAGTGGTGCGCTTTAACCCGCTGCCCACCAGGGAGGGCAGTTTTAAATTCTAGCAAAGATATGCTAGGACATACCGGTTTTTGTTGGTTGCAGAAGGCATCCTCCTCCTGTGCAGCCCAGTCTCCTGCTCTTCGGAGACCATCCTCTCGACTGCCGTGCTGATCTCTTTGGCTCTTGGCTCCCCGGTTCGGCGTCTCTCGCTACAGTGTTGTATGCCGGTTTGACTGTGCTCGCCACTGATCGCTGAGCTGTCTAACAGACAGCGATTGCTTCTCCTTTCATGCCCACTTTTATTTTCTCTTGGAAGAATTATGGTGTTTTGGTGGCAGTGCCTGGTTTTCCTGTGCTCCTCACCCCCAGACTGACTTAGCTGTGTCCTCTCCTCTACGCATTTTGCCAGCTGAAGACTCCCGCAGACCCTGGGCGGGTGGCTCGCGCCTGCTGCCCGGCTGCGCTTTGGCCTCCTGCGACCATGGCCGCCCCTTAGGACTTGGGTCAGACCGCACCAGTCCGCTGTCTGCCTTTTTTTTCCTTTTCACTTTGCTCCTTGGTGTTTTAGAGTGCATCTGTTGGTATTTTCCTCAGAAAAAGTACATGGAAATAATGTGTGTCCTTAAATATATCAGAACATGTAATTTCCCTCCTGCATTCCAGCAGTTTTGACTAGGGTGGGAGTAATTTCCATGACATTTTTGTCAGCGTTGCTGTGGAGAGGCTGTCTGGTTGCTGTTGGTCCTTTACGTGAAAGGATTATTTTCCACTTAAGCTTGTGGAATCTTCTCTTTGACCTTTCTGCTTGGAAATTGTGTTACGGTGTACCAGGATGAGGCTTTCTTTTATCCACTCTGCTGGGTACCTTTCAGTCTGGGAAAAATTGAGTCTGATGAGTCCCTCCCTGTTAGCGTGTCTGTTACTCAGGTGGGATAATCTCCGGCCCTGCACTTGTCCTTCTGTTCTTGGTTTTGTTGTTTCTTGTGAGATTTCAGTTTTACCTTCTATCCTTTCTCTGTATGTGTCTTTCACATTAGACAGTTCTCTCAAAAGTCTGTTGTGCCTGGCCTCTGCTCTTTCTGAGAAGTAGGACACGAAAAGATAGTTTGGAAGATGGTTTGGGTGGGCAGCTTGGCAGTTACGGGTGTGTGACTGATCTGGAAATTGGGAGGAAGAAAAAGTGTCTAGTAAACTTAACCTCCTGGGGTTCAGTTAGGTTGTTGGGTCCCGGTCTGCCTGCCTCTATTACAAGGGCCTTTGTCTCACCCCCTAAAGGAAACAGACCTCCAGTCTACTCTTGGGATAGGGTAGGTAGTCATCGGGCTGATCAGCGTGTGGAAGGGAAACCCTGAGGGAATGCCGTGCCTCACTAGGCCTTCAGCCATCTTCCTCCTCAGTTCCGCCTATGACCCTCTTGGCAGAGGTGCTTGTTTCGGTCCGTCCATAAGCCTCTTGGGAGGTCTTTGATGTTAATTGGGTTGTTTCTGATTTTTTTTTTCTTTCTAAAGATTTTTTTTAATTTATGTATGCATCCAAGAACTGGGGTACAGACCAGAGATGCGGGAGCGAAAGGATTCACCAGAGACAGAGT